TCTACTCCTCCCCTTCTACTGCGTGAGACGTGATAGGTTGCGGAGAGCTGGCCACGACCTTGCTAAGGCTGGTTGCTACCTGAAGCGCCAAATCTGTGATCGTACGTTTTCTCTGTGCGGCCAGGCATGTGCGTTCTGTCCTGGACCCTGTCTTGGGTCTGGGCATCTCGTTGCTGATCCCCTCAGGCGCCCTCTGTGTCCAAAGCGTGCTGCCTCCCACAGGCTCCAGGTGCTTCGAGGGGTCATTTACTGTGACAGGTGTGTCGCCCACGCCGCAGCTAGTGCACAAAATCTTGGCCAGCCTTGCACAGCCTGCAAAGCCATTGTTCGGCCTTCCACTAAAGCTTGGATGGAAATTATCCCGGCAAAGCAACCTAACAGCGATGTGTAGAAGCATATCTGAAAACATTCCCCTTAAGATTCAGATGAAAATCCAGTTGTAGAATTCTGCTGTTCTCGCAGTCGTAGTCGCATTCGCGATGACAGTCGCAGCGGCAACGGCAGTCGCAGTCACAGCCTCAGCCTCAGCCTCAGCCTCAGCCTGCCTCAGCCTCAGCCTGCCTCAGCCTCAGCCTCAGCCTGCTTCAGCCTCAGCCTCAGTCTGCCTTCAGCCTCAGCCTCAGCCTCCTGCCTCAGCCTCAGCCTGCTCAGCCTCAGCCTCAGCCTCAGCCTCAGCATCAGCCATCAGCCTCAGCCTCAGCCTCAGCCTGCCTCAGCATCAGCCTGCTCAGCCTCAGCCTCAGCCTGCCTCAGCCTCAGCCTCAGTCTGCTTCAGCCTCAGCCTCAGTCTGCCTTCAGCCTCGGCCTCAGCCTCAGCCTGCCTCAGCCTCAGCCTGCCTCGGCCGCAGCATCAGCCTGCCTCAGCATTCAAAATGTGGCCCAGGAATGGAGTTCTGGGAACTAGAAAAACACGAAGTGGCCTACAGTTGGCTCCGGGCATTCAAAATGTGGCCCGGGAATGGAGTTCTGGGAACTTGAAGAGCACGAAGTGGCCTACAGTTGGCTCCGGGCATTCAAAATGTGGCCCGGGAATGGAGTTCTGGGAACTCGAAGAGCACGAAGTGGCCTACAGTTGGCTCCGGGCATCCAAAATGTGGCCCGGGAATGGAGTTCTGGGAAGTCGAAGAGCACGAAGTGGCCTACAGTTGGCTCCGGGCATTCAGAATGTGGCCCGGGAATGGAGTTCTGGGAGGTCGAAGAGCACGAAGTGTGTGACTGTTTGCGAAAAACGAGTGCGGCGGCAGCCGCGGCGGCAGCCTGTCCGGGTCCCGCCCAGACCCCCCTGAGGAGTCATGATGCTCTCTTTTGAGACCACTAGAAACCTATCAGCAAAAGCTGTTAGGTAATATTGTCTCGTCTGTCCAGGGGCCTTCCACCCAAGAGCGGGGGTATTTGGTTCGTGCCCAGGCTTGACCTGGTCACCACAGGCTTCTGAATCTGAATCCTCCTCCCTCCTCCTCCGCCCTTCTTCGCGAGGTCTGGGCCCCAGCAAACCGAATCCGTCAGTGGATTGACAGAGCTGCAGCGGTCACTGCAGTGTCTGTGGCCCCCAAGCCGCGATGTAAGACTCTGGCTCGCACGTCTGTGCCCTCGGCCCTGTCGTGTGCCCCCACCGCCCCTGTGTGTGGGAGACGGTCGGCTGCTCTCGCTGCGCGAGTGCGGGCCCAGGAGGCTCTGAAGGCCGAGGGATAGTCTTTGGCGGTGGCACCCCGTCGCGGGCCCTGGCCAGAGTGCGGGGAGCTCTGTCCTCCAGGGTAGCGTTTTCCTCTCTGAAGGGTACCACCTCCCCCTCTATCGTTTTCGTCTTGCGAGACTCTTCCCCTCGGGGCTGTCCTAACCTAACCTCCCTCCCCCGGCCAGCACTTGCCCCGCCGAGGGGGCAGCAGCGCCAGCGGCCACGCCGGCGGCGGCGCGCGGGCTTGCGACGTGCTGGGCGAGGTCTCGGCCAGTGGCGGTGCCGCCCCGCAGGAGGAGGAGGAGGAGGCGGAAGAGGAGGAGGGAGTAGTCAGGAGGAGGAGGAGGAGGAGGAGGAGGATGATGATGTGGAGGAGGGAGAGGAGGAGGATGATGAGGAGGAGGAGAAGGGAGTAGTCAGGAGGAGGAGGAGGAGGAGGAGGAGGAGGAGGAGGAGGAGGATGAGGATGAGGAGGAGGAGGAGGAGGATGAGGAGGAGTGAGGTCACCCTGGGCATCTGACGGTAGGTAGCGTATCCGATGGTTCGAGAACGCATTACCGTCGACATCAGTGTTGCTTACTGACGTCACGTTGCTAATTACGTCAATATCCAGACTGCTGGTCGTCGTGATGGCACTATTTGTCGGCATTGATTGCTGCCACATCTTGTGTGTCGGCGTCGCGGTCCTCACTGTCGCCCGTCGTTGCCCCTGCCGTCGGTGCCGCCAGCGCCCTCCACAGGCCTTTCGGCTCGAGGCGCAGAGAAGCGTGACGCTTCTGCGGAGATGCGGCTACTGACTCATGCAGCGCCTGCAGTCGATTCGAAATGCCTTCCATTCGCCGGCTGCTCTTTTTGCTTCTGGCATGCATTGTGATCGTGGCCCAGCTTTCTCTCAGTGGGATCGCGCGGCGAAGCGGCCCTGCGGCCCTGCTCGACGACGACGGTGGCTCCGTCGGGGGTCCAGGTCTCCAGACGTCGGCCGGCCTGACCAGCAGCGGAGCTGGAGCCTCCGACGTTCGATTGGCCAGCGATGCTCCACCGGGCGGTGGCAGAACTCTGCAAGTTGTATTCGTAAAGTATTATCAGACTGGCAGCTCTCGAATGCGCGTCGACGACACCAATGTCATGCTTCGAATGCAAGCAGATTCTTCCATCAACTCAACAGGAATACTGTGCGACGAATATCGAAAAGTTTACTGCGGTGGGGTGCTGCGGGCGGATTTGGTAGTCCATGTGAAGATAGAGTGCAGGTGTGATGCTGGTCACTTAGGCATTGGAATGCGGCATGTGTACGAGCCAGTGGACGGGCTTATCAAGTTCGGTGGTCTCGAAGCATTCTTATCCGGAAAAGCTGGTCCAAACAAGCATCTCACAATGGGTGCTTGTATTGATGGCCGCGCAGATGGCAGGTGCTTCAGCGCCTACATCGTGGCTTCGAAGGAGATGAAGCGAAGGGCTGACGCTGTACTCGGCACGTCTCCTAGCAAGGCTTTCGTTATCCCTCACCATCACAGTAACTTTCATGATCGTGTTCGAGATGCAGGTCTGCCCCCTTCAACGGTAGCCCTAGCAGGTAAGTATAAGAACAATGCTCTTGTGAAGAATTTGTCGTCCTTTCTTCGGCAACAGGGTCTCCGCGATATCACGGTTCGGTACTTGCGAGAAATCAAGTGCAAGGACGGAGCGGCTTTGCCTCCGAGCGAGACCGGAGACTGCTTTGCTCAAGCTCTGAAAACAGTATCGGTCGGTATAGCATGGTGGCAGCCAGGGGATCCAGACAAGACGGGAGACCCAGGAATTGAGAGGGTGGCGCTGGTCGAGAACTCCGCCCAGCGGCTCCTGAACTTCCTCGCGGTCGGGGTGCCGGCAGTGGCCTTCGCAGGCTACGAGGCGATGCAAGACGCGCTGGAGGGCGCACACCACCTTGGAGCGGCAGCCGACGAGCCCTCGCTGCAGCTGCGGGTGCTGGGCCTCCTCCGAGACCCTGCAGCTATGGACGAGGCCCGGCGCGAGGCCCTCGAGATCGCCCGTCGCTTTGCGCCCGGGGCCGTCGGCGGCATCTACCGGGCTGCCCTGCCGGAGATGGCGCGGCTCGGGCGCCTGGCCGGATGACGGGGCTTCGCTGGGCCACGCCGCAGCCCTCGGGAGACTCTCCATGGGATCCCCAGGGGGCCTATGGGATCCCCCCCCTGGGATCCTATCCCCCCATGGGATCCCCCCCCATGAAGAGTCTCCCGAAACCCCCCGGACGTCCGACGCCGCGAAGAGCGCCCCGGCGGCGCTGCAGAGCCACGACCCGAGCTCGCGACCCCACCTGCACGGCAGGGTTGCGCCTCGCCGATGCGCCGCTGCGACGGCGACACTGGCGCGGGCGTCCGTAGCGAAAGGCCGCCAGCGGCCCAGCTCGAGCCAACCCTGAAGGGCCTCGAATTATTCCAGATTTCGTAAGAAAGGGAGGGGAGTCTCATTTCGGGGGGGGGTCTCTTCCAGGCTATCTTGGATGGCCTGGGGGGTCTGGGGACGATGTTTTGGAGGGTTCTCCCACGGGGGAGGTCTGAAATGGCTTGTCTTGGAGGGTCCAGACCCCCTCCCTTTTATTACGAAATCTGGAGTACCATCAGACGGCGGGGATCGGTCAAGAGCCGACGATCTGCGCGATGTCAACGACCTTCGCATGGGGGGGAAGAGCGGGCCCTGGACGGCCACGGGGTCCTGGACGCTCACGGAGCCCGCGGTGGGCCCCGAGGGCCCGGAGACGGTGAAAAACCTCGGGACCCGTTTCCCTCGGGACCCGCTTCCCCCGCCGCGAAAGTCCGGCGCCCGCGTCAATCGGCGTCACTCGCAGGCCTAGAGGTTGACACCAACACCAAGATCGGCGGTGTGCCTCCACCGAGGGAGGACGATCCCAATCTCGGTGATGGTGGTAATATTTTAGTTTCCAAGGTGACCGAAATATTACCACCAACACCAAAATCTAGGATCGGTTTCCCCATGTGGAGGCAACCTCTTGTGCGTGCCAATTTCCAGGCCTCCAAGTCACCCCAAGATACTTCAATTAGATGTGCGTCGTCCCCCCAGGGGCGACGCGCGCACCGAGAAATCTTACAGTGTGTGAAGTGGCGGGCGCTTTCTGGCCACACCGCTCGGGAAACGATATACTACAAGATGGGTATTCTATCTGTTCGGGTCGGACGCGCGTTTCCAAGGAGGACATTTAGTGTTAGTGTGTCTCTGTGCGTCCCAGTCAACACTGCACAAGCCGGGCGCGTGCGGGACTTCTCCAGCCAGGTCGACCCGCCCGGAGCTGCCCGGGGCGACCCAGAGGTCCGCGGCGTCCCCGTCTGCTCGCGCCCTCCTGTGGAGCCCTGGAGGACCTCTGGGCCCTGCAAGGGGTGCTCCAGATCGGAGGCGAGCGAGGCGGGAAGAAGTGAGAAGGAGAAGGCCTTCTCAGAGAGCGGCGGGACTTCTCAGAAGCCCTCGCGCTTTCTGAAAAGTTCGTTGTGTCTCCAGGGAAGGCTTGGAACACTTTTCAGAAGGCTGGGAGACTTCCGAGCCTCGTTCCGAGCCTTCTGAGAAGACCCGCCCTTCTCACTTCCCCCCCTCGCTCGCCGCCGAAGGGAATCCTGGAGATCCCTCGGGGTCAGTGTGGATCCGATCGATCCGATTCGATATCGATTCTGGCTGGCTCGATGCGATTCGATGCCGATATTCCGAAGATCCGATGCGGCCCGATGCTTGCATGATGCTGTTGTGCATCCTGGCGCGGCCGAAACGTCTGGATTCCGACTCCGCCCCGATGCGGCCCGATCCGAATGCATGCCCAGGTCCGATCTGGCTTCGCGAGCCGATGCTGACTGACCCTGCGCCGGCCAGAATCGACATCGAACCGGGTCGAGATGAGCCCTGCCCCTTGGGGCAGTCGGACGGGGCCAGGATTCAGTCGGGCCTGCCCCCCTACGGGAGGAAGATTCAGGAGTAGTCCCAAAATAGTCTGGGGGACGATGTTACAGTATTCTGTTTGATATTTTTTGGGGTCTTTTTGGAGTATTTTAGATTTTTCGCCCAAGATCCCCCTGTAGGGGGACACGCGCGACTTCAGGCTATAGGACCAGGATGCATGGTTTCAGACCTCCCCATGAACGCTCTCAGAGCGTTCAGATACACATCCTGGAACGCCCGCGGCGCCAGATAACTACGCAGCCTCCGGAGCCGCAGGATCCCGGAGCTCCCTGATGTATCCCGGCTCGATGTTTCCCCGGTCTGGTTGGGCGTCGCGCCGATGGGGGGGCCAACACGCGGGAGGGCAGCGAGGACCGCCGAGAAGGGGCCCCGGGGCGCCCCTGAGAGGGGCCCTCTAGTTACCAGCCTGGAGCATATCCCTATCCCTATGCTGGGCACCTCCTCATCACGACGCCAATCTTAGGGATCCCCTTATTTCTTTAGGGCGAATCCCTAAGATTGTCCTCGCCTTTTGGCGTGTCGATCTTAGGGATAGGGATACGTTCGAGGCTGGTGATCTAGAGGGCCCCAGGGGGAGCCTTTTTTGGGGCCCGAGAAGTGCACCTCTCTCCCTCGCCCCCTCCCCGCCATCTTCCCCCCAGACTGACTGCAGCACCGGCGCGCAACGCTGCCTTCGCAGAATGAAGCGCCGGCGCGAAAACACAACGCAGCACCGCAGAGTCAGCGGAACATCATGCATGAAATTCTGGGACCATGCGGGCGCAGCTCGGACACCAGAACTTACTGGGGCCCGTTTGTCCGCGACAGGAAGCGGCGCCCAATCGTGGCCTTGTCCGACCCCTTCTGGGGCAGGGGCCCCTCTGGCAGTGCAGTGCCTTTGTCCGCGCGGGCCCCGGCGAGGCTGCCCGTAGCACCACGTCCCACGACGCCCTCGGGGCCTCGGGGGCACCGCCCCCCCCACCCCCGAGGAGGGGGTCTTTGCGCTGCTCGTCGGCGCGGCTGGCTTCAGGCAGGCCCCCAGGATGAAGTCGGGCATGTCCTTCTACAGGAGGCACAATCCCAAATAGTCAAAAAAGTAGTCTGGGGAGGCTTTGGTTCTACTATGTTTAAACATGTTTTGGCTATTTTTAATTTTTCGTCCCAAGCCCGCCTGTAGGAAGACAGGCCCGACCTAACACCAGGGCGAAGATCGATGGAGAAAAAGCGGCATGACCAGAACATGTTTCGGAGCTCCGCGCGGGTTTCTCTGATCTGCGCTGGGCCCCCCGGCGGCGCCCCTGGCGCGCTCGGCGCGCCAGGGATCCGCGCGGCGCTCCGAAATTTCATGTACACTGCAAAACAGTATCAAGCAGTGGATTCTGTCAGGGGCCCGAGTTGCTTCAAGAACCCGCTTCCGGTTTCGGAGAGGCGAATTTCCTGCTGGCCGTGCCGTGCCGTGCCGTGCCGGTCTCGGTTTCTGTTTGAGGACAGCGGTTCTGTTGTCGACCACGGGAGCACGGCGCAGCGCCGTGCCAGGCCCGCAGGCCGTGCCGTGCGGTGCTTGGTTTCGAGGGTGCGGGAAAGCTGCCGTGCCGTGCCGTGCCGTGCCGCGCTTGGGTGCGAGGGTGCGAACACGTTGCCGTGCCGTGCCGTGCCCGCGTGCCGTGCCGTGCGTCTGCTCGGTTTCGAGAGTGCCGAGAAGTCGCCGTGCCGTGTGGTGCCCGTGCGCCTGGCCCGGCCGTGCGCCTGCTTGGTGTCGGCAGCGCGAGAGATATGCTTGCTGCGCCGTGCTGTGCCGTTCTGGGCTGCGAGGGTGCGATGAAGTGGCCGTGCCGTGCCCGCGCGCCGTTGCGTGCCGTGCTTTGTGTTTTCGAGAGCACCGGCATGTTGGTGTGCCCGCGTGTCGTGCTGTGCCCGCGTGCCGCGCCGTGCCTTGCCGTGCTTGGCTCCGAGGCTGCGAAAACCTGGCCGTGCCGTGCCGTGGCCTTCCTGGCGGCCGCGCAGGGCGGAGTCGGAGGCTCCGGAGGCCCCAGAGGTGCGTTCGGAGCTCGTGCCCCCCCCCCTCCCTCTACTTCGAGACTTGGGGGGGAGGGACAGCGGGCAGGGGGGAGGAGGGGGGGGGAAGGGTGGGGGGGGGGGGGGGGAAGGGGAGGAAAGGGGGAAAGGAAGGGAGGGAGCGAGGGGGTGAAGGGGAGGGAGGAGGAAAGGAAAGGGGAGGACAGGGGAGGGGGATTCCACACGCCCTTTCACTCCTGGCAAGCGGGCGCCAGCGGATCAGGCGCGTTTGCCAGAAGGGCCTCGGTTGTATGGGGTGCTAGTCATGCGGGCGGTTCCTCCGCTCACCAAGACCACGTCTTCCTCCCCTGCCCCCTCCTCCCCCAGGACCCGTCGCCGTCGTTGCCGTGTTCGACGTGGCTCTTCGTGGTCGCTTCTCCTCCCGAGGGCCCCCCCCCCCCCCTGCAGAGGGCCTGGGCGCACAGAGGGGCGGAGCGCCCGCCGCGGCCTCCTCTCGGCGCCCGGAGGCTCCGTGGCCTTCCGTCCCCAGGGCCGGCACCCCAGGCCTGCTCTCCAGAGCCTGCGCCGGCCAGGGTCTCGAGGGGCGGGCCCAGCCGTTTACCAGCCTCGAACGTACCCCTATCCCTAAGATTGACACGCCCAAAGGCGATGACAATCTCAGGGATTCGCCCTCAAAAAATAAGGGAATCCCTAAGATTGGCATCGTGACGAGGGGGTGCCCAGCACAGGGATAGGGATATGCTCCAGGCTGGCAAAGCCGTGGCGACGAGGGCGCCCCCCCGCGGGGGGCCCGGCGGGGCCTGCGCGTGACAGCGTTCAGAAGTTCGACCCTCGAGCGTCGGTCCAGAAGCCTCGCTCCTCGGGCCTGGAGCCAGACAGCTCGATGCTCGATCCTCGAGCCTGGATCTGAACGCTTGGACTCTGGATCCAAAAGAATCGAGCCTCAATCCAACTACCTCGATCATCGAACTCCCATTGCAAAACGCAGATCATCGATCCAAGAAGGCCTTGATCCTTGATCCAAACACCTTGAACCTCGATCCTCGAACCTCGACCCGAATTCTTCAATCCTCGATGAAAATCACTCTTGATCGATACCACCGAGAATTCGATCCAAAAGCCTCGAGCCCCAATAGAAAGCAAGTCATTCAGCAAAA